CTTAGGGTTTTTATATTTTTCTCATACAGACCTAGGGTTTTCATATTTTTCACCCTTTAGGAAGAGGGAAGGAGTTTAGGGTAGGAGTTGGGTCATATCGGACAGGTGCAGGGTGGGTTTCCCCACGATGAGGAGGGTCAGCTATGCAGGACTTTGGTCAAGGGAGTGCCTTGTGATTGGGATTGAGTCATATCAGAGGAGCCAGTAGTGGGGGGGGCGGAGGAGATTGGGGGGTGTTGTGATACACCACCTTCCTGGAAAGCTGTCAGGGGGTGGTAATCGATCATGCAATCATTTTAGGAACATTCGGGACCCAATATTTTTCTTTCAGGAATGGATCTGTAATCCCAGCACTCCAAAGGCAAGATGAGAGGCAGAGACAGGAGAACGGGCCAGAAGCTTGTGGGCCGGCTAGCCTGGAGCGCACTGCATATCAGCAGAAGCAGCAAGAGAGACCTTGTCTTGACAAGGTGGAAGGTGAAAAACAACTCCCCAAAGTTGTCCTCTGACCACGTGTGTGCCACGGCATAGGTGCATCTACACACACACACACACACACACACACACACACACACACACACACAGAGGTAAATAAAATGTTAAAGAAAACAAAATTAAAATTTTTCAATTAAATTGAGACTTTCGGGACAGGCAATTTTAAAAGAAGAAAACAGCACCCTAAATTCAGTAAGATTCATCTTTCACTGTGGTCTGAAATGTTATTGGAGCACAGAACATTGAGTCCTTCATAGAAAACCTCTTGTCTTTAGTAACCTGCACTGGAAGTGGACTTAGTATTTGGAGAACATTAGCTCACCTCAATTGTTACCCAATTTATTGCCTCTAATTAATATAACCTTCCACCAAGTGGTTAATATAGCAGGAAATAGGGTGATGGTTTTCCATAAATTAAGTTATTGCATGTGCAAAGGGGAGAGGGTATAGTTTTTTCTATAACTGCCAATGATACAGATATTTATATTGGTAGAAAACTAAGGATAAGACAAGCACCATGTATGAGCTGAGAAAGTAAAGCATGTGAATAAGCCCAATAAATAAACTAATTGGCTCTGTTAATTAGTTCATTCATCTGTCTCAGGCAGTTGATAAGTCCAGGTTTAGAGAAACATGTTCATTATCTGATGTCACTCACAAATGTTTTTGAACAGCTTTCACAGTTCTGCAGTCCAGCAGATGCCATTACACAGACCAAGACCAAGAGGTGGGTAGGAGGAAGCTGGAGAGTATTGAAGGTTTCACAATTGCTTTCCAGGGTATTGCACTTTTGTTATGATTTGGATGTGAAATGAAACCCCCCCCCAATAGGCTCATGTATTTGAACACTTGGTCCTCAGCTGGTGGACTATTTTTGGAAGTTGTGGAATCCTTAGGAGGTAGGGTCTAGAGATGGAAGAAGTGGGTCCCTGGAAGGGGAAGTGTGTAGGCTTGAGGACTATAGCCTAGACTTGTTTCTGGTCACAGTCTGTTTCCTGATCTGCAGACACGTAAGCAAGCAACCTCACACCACTCCCACTGCCACAGTCTTCCCTGCCATGATGGACTGCACCCTCTTAAACTAAATCAAATCCTCCGTCCTTCAAGTTGCTTCTTTCAGGTATTTTATCACACAGCAAGAACAGTAATACAACAGTTTCTCCACATCAGAAGTTCAGTCAACTGAGAAGCTCAGGACTGAGAAAATGAAGACTTTGAAGTGGGCCCCTCTCTGGGATTGCTGAATTGTTAGGTTTAAGAAACCCCTTTGCACAACTAGGTGTCATTCTTTCCTCTGTGAAAATATATGGTTTCTAAAGATTCCCTTTAGCTTTATATTCTGATTGCATGATTTTCTCCACTTATGTGATTTTAACACTAAAGTTGTCAAATCCTGTGGTAATTTTGACAGCTTTCCTAAAGAGACCAGGCACCTGCAGGGGTGCGCAAGACTTCTCCCTGTCCCTGGCTAGGGAGAGACACAGCCTTCAGAGCTCTTGTGGATGCTATGAAATGAACAGACCCCCTATATCTTGTGAATTGATGTCTTAGTGTCTGATTGCTGGCATCAATACCTACTACAATTGGTTGTAATAAAATAGGAAATTTGTTGGGAGGACAAAGCATTTTCATAGAACTGAAGGCCAAAAAGTTTCACTTCACTTTGTAAGGGATTTTGAATCAAAAACTGTCAAGATGGGGGGCTAGAGAGATGGTTCAGTGGTTAAGTGCACTGGCTGCTCTTGGAGAACACCCAGTTTCGAATCCCAGCACCCACGTGGTGGCTAAAAACAGTCCATAACTCCAGTTCCAGGGGATCTGACACCCTCTTCTGTCCTCTGTGGGCATTGTACTTACATACATGCAGGCATAACACTCATACACATAAAATAAAAATTAAAAGAAAAAAAATCCTGGAAGGATGGGGAGGCTGGAGAGACAGCTCACTGATTAACAGTGCTGGCTGCTCTTGCAGAGGACTCATGTTTGGGTTCCAGTACCCACATGGCAGCTAACAACCATCTGTAACTCCAGTTACAGGGGATCTGACGCTCTTCTGACTTCCATGGACATTGCATGACATGGGTGCACTTACATACATGCAGGCAATACACTCATATACATAAAATAATGAATAAAATATTTAAAACACTGGAAAGATGGGAACTTGGATGATCACTTCTCAGATAATTCTTCCTCCTTTTCCATTTTTCTCTTCCAAATCTCTACATTCTCATCATTCCCTCCAAGTCTCCTTTTTTTCCCACCACCTTTGGACAATTTTCTCATACTTAATACAATTCTAGATTTATATGGCGTGCTGGATAGCTTTAGTGTCAACTTAACACACCTGGGTTGAGGGAGCCTCAATTGGGGAATTGCCTCCAATGGACTGGCCTGTGGCCATGTCTGTGGGGCATTTTCTTGATTGTTGAGTGGCCCAGCCCACTGTGGGCAGTGCCACCCCTGGGCAGGTGGGCCTGTGTTGTATAAGAAAGCAGGCTGAGCAGGGGCCAGGGGAGCAAGCCAGTAAGCAGCATTCCTCCATGGCCTGTGTTTCAGCTCCTGCCTCCAGGTTCCTGTCCTGAGCTCTTATCTTGGGCTCCCCCATGATGAACTATGACCCAGGAGATGCAAGCCAAATAAATCCTTTCCTCTCCAAGTTGGTATTGGTCAGACTGTTTTGTCACAGCAATTGAAGGCAAACCAGAACACATGGAATTTCCACTAAGCATACAATGAGAGAGAAATTGGACCTCTGTATGTGAACCCCAAAATCAAGGCTTAAGGGAGTTTCCTAGCCCTATCTGAGTCCATTGCTCACATCTGGTCTAGTTTGCTGGGAGAGTGAGTACAGGTCATTGGACTCAGTATGAGTCAGCAGGGGTTTGAGAAGCAGATTATCTTAAACAAGGATGCAATCTGGATATATTCCCTAAGCCTATTTTGGTTACAGACAGCAGAATGTTCTCTGACTAGCAAATAAAACATTTTGGAAATATACTGGTATATTTCATTCAATCAAAGAAAATAGTGCAAGTCTTGGGTCCTTGGCAAAGGGTGCTACTAGACCTTTTCTTCAGGGCATTGCCATTTGTGTGTATCAGTTCTAATGGGTATCTCATCTCTGTGTGTCCCTATGTCACACTTAAAGTTCCTGAAATGAATAGTCTACAAGGGCTGGTTTAGGGTGTGCATCTCTCTGGATTAACTGGTCAGATAGTCAGGGGTTGTGGTTAAGTGACTGACTTGTCTGTTTTCCCCAGACTATCTTAGTTGAAAGATTCAAAGTCTAGTCTCTTGAGATCCTCCTCAGGCCTGGACAAGCTAGGGTAGTTGGTCATCCCAGGACATGGTCACTGGCACAACATGCTGCCCTTCAAGACGTTTCCCCCTCCTATTTCAGCCACTCCTGTAAAAAAGAAATTTTGGTGCGCTATAGGCAGAGTGCTTTCTATTACTTTCTAGTCCTCAGTTTCTAGTATACTCTCCCCTCCCCTCCCCGCTATCTCCAGCGACTCATGTATCCCAAGCTGGCTCAAACTGGTTATGAAGCTGAGGTTGACTCTAAACTCCTGATTCTCCTGCCTCTACCTTCTGAGTGCTAGAGATTACAGGTGTGCACCACTATGCCCAGTTTATGTGATGTTGGGTATCAAGCCCAGGGCCTTGTGCATGCTGGGTAAGCACTCTACCAATTGAGCTGCACACCCTGGGCCTCGGGTTCCAGTTTTTGATGACTAGGACAATCACCCATGGCAACCCCATGATTCATTATCTTGTCTATGCCCCTAAGGCGACCACTGATTCTGTTATATGAAGACTGAAGTCCAAATTTCTTGGTGTAAGAACAGGATCATCTGGCCTTGCTGAATTGACTATACCGTGGAAGTTGGTTCCTAGTAATCTGATCTGCAGGCTCTTGCCCTTCTTGCCTGCCCCTCAACGTATATTCATTCTGTAATTCAGTCTCAACTGAGGCATTCTTCGTGGGAGGCCTTCTTGCCCAGCTCTCTACCCTTAACCATTCCCTACTGCACTGCCATACCTCTGAACACAAGATGCTTTCGTTGCACTTGTTCGCTCATAACCCAGTGCTCCTGCACTAGACTGTCTGTTTTATTCTGTGCGGAGTTTAAGCTCCAAGGACATGGGCTAGCCCTCTATTCACTCCTTTATTGGCAGCACCCACAGACCTGTCTTGTTTCATGAGTGATGTGGAAGATAAACATCTGAATTAATGCGAGATACTCCCTTGCGTGATGAACCTGTTTTTGTTGATCTCGCCTTTTAGCTAGTGCGTGAGCCCAGAGGTCGGCGTCCAAGTCATCTACGGGGCTGAGCAAGGTGGACGCTGCGGCCAGTATTTGCAGATTGGATAACGGATGCACCCGGAGGTCCCGGAGCTTGAGGAGAAGCAGGCATCCAGGGGCTCCGGGGTGCAGTGGTGCGAGTATAGCGGGAGGCCCGGCTCGCCCGCCAGGGGCGGGACTTCCGGTCCCGCTCGGGAACGCCGTCCGCGCGGGGCGGAAGCGCGGCTCCGGGCCAGGCTCGGTGAGCCGGAGCTGGAGGTGAGTTCGGACCCCGGGCGCGCATCGTGTCCGTGGATGCTTCTTGGCGCTGTGTCGCCACCCGCCGCAGCTCGAGGGAACATGGTACGGGCCGCGGAGTCGGCGCTCGCCGTGCGGGCGGCGGGAGAGCCGAGACTCCGGGCAGGGGGACAGGGCTGGGGAGGCCGGACGCGCCACCGCGGGGTGACATCCTCCCGGGCACCGCGGCCTCCGCGGGGGTGTGTCCTCCTCCCCGAGGCTGGTCCCGCACGGTGGCGCGGGACGACCCAGCTGGGCTTCCCCGGAGGCTCCGGAGAGGATGGGAAGGACTGTCTGGACCGAACGAACCAGTTCCGGCGGGCGTGCAGAACTAGTGCTGTATTTGCGGTTTATACTGTTTCTCTTTTTAAAGTCTTCGCCCCTCCTCCAGGTGCTTTTGGAAAAATATTTTACAGTCCTAGGGGAAACTTGAACTCTCACCTAGGTCCAACCTAGGCTGCTGTTCTTTGTCAGACTGATGGGGCTTCAGATCTGTCTCTCCAGCAAGCCCACGGTTTTCCTTTGGACTCTTACCTTGTGGAGTTGAGGTGTTCTTTGTCATAGAATGAATAAATGGGTTTGGAAGGACGGTGGTGTCTGGAAAAGCTTGCGCCTTCAGCCTTTTTTGCCCCTTTACAACTTACTGTGTTCTTCCCAATGTGTCAGTGAACCAAATTTTTGCCGCGTACTGTGAAAGCCAGAACACAGTCCTTGATGTGTAACGTTGTTTTGTTTGTTGCAGGTGTTTCATATTTTAACAGTCAGGATTTTTAACTTTAGAAATTTTAGGTAACTTTGAAATTCTACTTGGTGGTCTGACTTGGATCATTTGAAACAAGCCAGAGAACAGTTTGTATTTGTTGGTACCCTGGCATCTCACTAACTTACTGTAAATTCTTGGTGGCCTTGAAGATCTGTGCTGGAGTGAGATACAGTTATAATAACCTTATGGTTAATGGCACAGCTGTTATTTACAAGTGTAGGGCCATGCCCAGCCTTAATTGGTGTTTTAACATGTAATTGAGGTCATTGAACACAGCCCTTTAAAGATACTGAGCTAACCCCTATATTGGGCTTTACATGTCTTAATTTCATTTCTTGAAGTAGACCTGCTACCTATCTGATAAGGCTTGATTTTGTTTTAGCATGCAATTTTGGTTTAAAGCCTGCATTCCACCCTCTTATCTTTGAGAGATAAAGCACTTAAGAACACAGGTGTTTACACTTTGTAGTTCATGGTTGGCGGAAGTGTTCATCCTTGAAACACAATACCTACTTCTGTGCAGGCTCCTAGCTACAGTACAGCTATGTTTGAAATTTGATTGCCCTGGGTTCGGGAAATCTTTGGAATGTTTACCTTTTGCTCTAATTGTTGAAAAAAAATTGCTTCGCTTTCCCTTTAGATAAATTCTTTGCATTGTTCTGTAGGATTTAGAAGTATTTCATAGCCACAAGGGAGAATGTTGGCTGAGATGCAGCAGACTGCTAGTTACCTGTATGTATAGATAGATGGACAATTTCTTTTTGTTTCTGCTGTAGTGAAATATTTCTTTCCTGTGCAGGAAGAAGTCCAATGCTAATCAAACAGCCTTCATGTTCAAGCACTTTGAATGCCCTGTTTTCTTAGTCACCAGTTTATAATATATCATGCAGTTTCCTATATTGAGTTCTTTGGTTCCATGCCCTCTGGCTACCAATTTTTATTATATGGTCCATTCTCACCTGCTTATCCTAGTTAGAAAGCCATTGCTGGCCATTTGATCCAATCCAGAGAACTGGATACCAGTGAGGAACACAGCTTTGGGGTGATACTAACCTGAGCCAGCAGAGGATGGATGAGGCAGAGCCAGTCCTCTTCTAGTTTCTGGCCTACTAAGTCTTTCTCTCTCAGACTGACCAAGATGATTTAATCCTCAGTGACTCAGGGGATTCAGAGAAGCCTGTTAAGAAGGGCTCATTCCATTATGCCGGTCCTAAGGAAAACAACTATTGAATATGCCAAAGTATTTGTAATTGAGATAGTCACTTTAATAGAAAAGTTCATGTGTAATTTGAGCCTTATTCTCAGAAAACTGCTTTGAAGTTGTCTATATTATTTTATGTGTCTGATGAAGGTAGTACATTGTCAGACTAATACATTTTAAAAGGTGGACATCATTCTATTCTGTTATTAAATATCCATTATTATTGAAATTCTAGATTTTATTAAAATTTAAGAGATATTTCTTGCTTCTATATTGTTTGGTAAACCAAAGCTCACACAATTTTTGTATGAACTCTCCATTGGACTGGTACTACTGATTTTTACACTGAAATGGGAACTTTTACATACACAGACACATACATACACATATATACATATGTGTGTCTTTTTGAGACAGGGTCTTCCTGTAGCCCCAGCTGTCCTGGAACTCACTCTGTAGACCAGGCTGGCCTTGAACTCTCAAGAGATCTGCCTGTCTCTGCCTTCCAAGTGCTAGGACTAAAGGCGTGTGCCACCATGCCTGGCTAAACATTTACACATTTTGTTAATTTTTACCTTCCTATCTTAGGAAGTCCAGTATTTCTCCTTGTCATGGTATATTTTGAGGTCTATTTTTTTCCTCATTTGTTAGTGATTATTTTTAGGTTTGTCTTCTACACTTACAATGCTACTTCTTTAAGCTTGTGTTGAGTCAGGACTGATTTGAGTCGATGATAGTGATTAATGATTAATGATTGTAGTGAGATAATAGCATTGTTAATGTATTGGCTGTTGTGTTGAAAATGCTAACTTAAAAATAGCTCTCTGAGCATTTCTTTAACGTGCTATTATACTTAAAGGGGTTAAAGATACAGGCATTTATCAACTCTGATTTACAAAAGTACTGGTTTGACTTTCACTATTTTAATGTGTCAGCTAGGGGTCTTCAGAGAAACAGAATGAATGCACATAGCATATGTGCATTATTATTTAAAGATTTATTTTAAGGGAGTTGGAGAAATGGCTCAGCACTTAAGAGTATTGCTGGGTAATCCTGAGGACCAGAGTTTTGATTCCAGCACCCACATGGCAAGCCAAGGTCTGTGAACGCTTGTAACCCCAGCTCCTGGGGGTGGGATGGGGGGTGGGAGTGGGGGTGCAGAGACAGGAGGATTGCTAGGGCTTGCTGGCTTCCAGCCTAGCTGTGAAAATGTGAGTCCCAGGTTCAGGGAGAGACCCTGCCTCAGAGGAATAGGTGGACAGTAATAGAGGAGGACACCTGATGCCCTCTTCTGGCCTTTGCATGTGGTGCATGTGCACCTGTACATGCAAGCATATAGCACATACACACAAACAATTCTTTTTACAAAAGATTTATTTTAAGAAACTGATTGAGGGGCTGGAGAGATGGCTCAGTGGTTAAGAACATTGGTTGTTCTTGCAGAAGACCCGGGTTCGAATCCCAGCACCCACATGGCAGCTAACAACTGTCCGTAACTCTAGTTCCAGGGGATCCCACAGCCTCTTCTGCAGGTATTGCATGACACGGGTGCACTTACCTTCATGCAGGCAATACACACATACACATAAAATAAAAATAATAAGTAAAATATTAAAAAAAGAAGAAACTGAGCAACTTCTACACCTAAGGCATATGGAACATAGAACAAGGGTAATGAAGACGACACTAATGAATCTCTCAGTTCTCATTAATGAAGATCCCTCATGCAGCAGAGGGCCAGGAACACAAAAGGTCACAAATGGCCAAAACATAGAGATTAAGAGTCTGGAGATTGCTGGTCCATGGACAGGATGCCTGTATTAAACTTCACCCACCCAGGGCTCAGAGACCATCTCTGAAGAGGGGATGGAAAGATTGTTAGAGCCAGGGAGGAGGTACATGACCATGTGGAAACAGAGTCCTACCAGCTCCTGGGACCCTGCTCCTATGGTTCCATAACAATGGTGTCAGTATATACAGGTCCCATTCAAACTCAGGCAGACAAAAAACCCAGCACAGAACTGGGGAAATAAACAGCAGACCCCAATCTTAGCTGAGGAAACACTGGCAGCTGATTACTGCTGGGCGAGGAAGAGCTGATCTTCCTAAAACAAGAGACTCTAGATAGGCTGACTAGACCTCAGTGGATGGATCTGCACGACTTGACACATTGGGCTTCATACAGATGACAGAGTATATGGGTTCCAGTTGTGGGGTTGTCGGAGCATGCCGGTGGAGACAGGGGTATAAAGATGATTAAGATTGAGATGTTCTGTATAAAATACACAATAATTTAGTAAAAACAAATTTTAAAAAACTGATTGATTCAATTGTAGGGAGGGGTAAGCACAATATTTGTAGGTTAGACTGGAAATTAGGGAAGGTGTTGATTCTGCAGTCTTGTTTTGTTACTGTTGTTGATATGTCCATTTGTGGCATGTAGTGAAGTGTACAACCCAAGGAGCTTGAAGAAATTTTACAAGTTAGTCACTGTATCATTCATGGAGTTATTCCACATGGCTGTAAGAAGAGGGATCACAAGCACCAAGGAAGTTACTTGAACTTACTGGAAAAGGTTGAGGGTAGAGAAACAGGTGCTAATGGAACCCAAAAGCTTTGTAAGCTGCATCAGGCAGGAATTTGGAAACCTCCCACAGAATTTTAAGGAGACTCTGGGGACATCATAGGATATCAATAGGTCTTTTGGAAGGTTGCCATGTTTTGGACATTGATTTGAGTTGAATCCTTGTAGTGAAAATAATGTCATTTGTTGATCACTTGTAGTCGCAGTACAGTAAGTAGAAACTTGGGCAAGTGCCTTCTGCCTTACCTGCAAAATAAGCATCATAGCACCTACTGTGCTTAATTTGTATAAGAAATATAAAATAGGTGTGCTTAACAAAATTCCTAGCTTGTAACAGTACTTAGTGAAGTATAGCATTCATTACACTGTAGCTTGCCTACAAATGAGGCAGTTACACACATTAACTTGGAGCACATGTGACAGTATATGTTGGG